TGGCTAGGATTGTATTTGCTAAAAACTGGAAGAATGAGAAAATACCATCACAGGAAGAAATTATTAAGAAAATATTGGAATGTGCTGAGATGAGTAGATTGACATTTGAAATTAGAGAGCAAGAGGATAAACAATTTTATGAAATTTGGGATCTTTTTTATCAGTGGCTAGATGACAAAATACGATAATAGAATATTTAGAAAGTTAGATAGCAAGGAATACCTTTATTTTTTCTTTTGCCTATGTTATTTGACATTATATCTATAAAGTGTTTTTAGGATAGATTTGGTATGATTATATGATTTGTTATAGAATAAACTGTTTAAAGTATTGTTATCTCATAAAGCATGAATGATTAAAAGTATAGTCAAATGATTTATTAATAGCGATATTAGGATATATAAGTTTGGATTGACAATATGAGTTGTTATGTAATATAACTGTAATTGAGACTACGAAATGAATGCACAAAACTGATGAACCAACCGACACACTGTACGTACATAAGAGAGTTGATGTTTTAATGTTTTGTTTCTCTTGTTTGTTTGTAGAAAATCAATAAAATTGTTTTAAAACAAAAAACAAAAAACCGGCAAACAGAACTTTTCTCCCAGAAGGGCTGCATTCTCTGGGGAGACAGAGTCGTCGTCCCAGAGAGGCTACAACAGACAGTTTTACAAGTACTGCACGACGGACATCCGGGCATTGTCCGTATGAAGGCGCTCACACGGAGCTATGCGTGGTGGCCGGGCATCGACAAACAAATCGAAGCCTGGGTAACCACGTGTCGGAAGTGCCAAGACGTCAGCAACGCCCCACCTAAAGCAACGCCAACCGAGTGGGAAACCCCTCGGGGTCCGTGGTCCCGCATCCACATTGATTTTGCGGGACCCACCAAAGGACCCACTTTTCTACGAACAGTAGATGCCTATTCCAACTGGCTAGAAATACATAAAATGAAGACAACCACAACTGAGTCAGTCATTAACAAACTGAACAAATTGTTCGCAACGCATGGGTTACCAGACGTTTTAGTTTCTGATAACGGGCCCCAGTTCACTGCTCTGCTTTTTGAACAGTGCCTAGCAGACCGGGGCATCCGCCATGCGCTAACCTCGCCGGCACACCCTGCGGCCAACGGGAGGGCAGAGCGAATGGTACAATTCGTCAAAAAAACACTACCAAAAAATGGATTCTGGGGACATCGACGACAACCTGAACCGAATCCTGCTTCTTCAGCACATCACCCCACACAGCGTCACGAATAAAATGCCTGCCAAACTGTTAATGGGACGAAAACTTCGCTCCCACCTCGACCGTTTACATCCTTCTTATTCACCAGAAAAACCCTTTGGGTCTAGCGGGAAGTGCCGCGAATTCAAGGTAGGCGACTTGGTGTTTGCTAAAAATTTCTCCGGCGACCCATTGTGGGTCCCTGCAACCATTACCCAACCCACCGGCCCCAGATCCTACCGCCTACAGACTAATGACGGGAGAACTTGGAAACGACATATAGATCAGCTTCGCTCTAGATTGCCACCCATTTCCCACGACTCCCCTTATTCGCAAACTGAGGGGGGAGGGGATATCGAGGGGACCGAAAACGGAACAGATAATGATGTAATCAGGGGAACCCAGCATCCAACCCAAAGAAGCGAGCTAACTGAAGAAGAATCAGGGAGCGGGGAAGTTTCGCCGGGGGGAAATGCCACAAGGGAGGCAAGCCCACGGAACCCGGAAGTAACTCTTGGGGACTGGGATAACAATGGCAGCCGCGCCGAGTCCTCCCGCACTGAAACGGAACCACCCGTGCCAGAAAGACTTGAAAGCGTTCCACCGGAATCGGACTGCAGACAGAAACCGGTGGAACAGCGAAAATCAAACAGGCAGGTGAAACGACCTGCATATCTATGCGACTATATCACCACATCCCTCAAACGGAACCTAGGGGGGAGGGGTGTTATGAACTAACATAAACGTATTTAATAAAGTTTAACAACCTTGATAGAAAAGCAGGCTCGTAATCCTGCACTTTTGATTGGTCCGTGGATAGCGAGCTGGGATTGGTCCTTACGGAGCAACCTGATTGGCTATTAGCGGAACGTCTCTCATTGGGTACAATTTAAACGTTTCAACGTTAGTCATTAGTTAATGGGACAACAGTCAGCCCTATAAAAGAACTGTTGCTGCCCAGGGTTTTCGCTCTGTTCCTGATCGTTAATAAAGAGTTGAAGTTCACTGTTCACGGCCTCGTCTCTGTTCCTTGCGCCCATGCCCAGAACTTAACATTTCCTTTGTATTTTGTGGCAAATTTAGAGAACAGTGTTCCCCAACATTGCCAAATTTAAGGCGTATGGACTCCAACTTCCAGAATTCCCCAGCCAGCATGCTGAGTGGGGAATTCTGGGAGCTGAAATCCACATGTCTTAAAGTTGACAAAATTGGGAAACACTGCTGTAAATAATAATCAAGCTGTAGACATAAGAGTTTGAAAGAAGTATTATTTCTTTGCTCTTGAAGATTGTTCTACCCTTTTTATGCCTTAAGAACACACATTTCAATCACATACAAAGCCTTTCTAAATGAATGGAGAATCTTAGACATATTATTAACCAACTTCAACTTAGACATATTATTAACCAATTTCAAACTGTGATGCAGTGATTAGAATGCAGTACTGCAGGCTACTTCTAATGATCACTGGCTGCCAGCAGTTTGGCAGTTCAGGTCTCACTGGCTCAAGGTTGACTCAGCCTTCCATCCTTCCGAAGTTGGTAAAATGAGGATCCAGATTGTTGGAGGCAATATACTGACTCTGTAAACTGCTTAGAGAGGGCTGTAAAAGCACTGGGAAATAATATATAACTAAGTGCTGTTGCTAGTGCCATTGCTAAAAGATGCCAACTTTTAAAAACAGGAAACAGGATACAGATATAAAAGCTACTAGTCACACAGCTATATAGGCATGCCTTCAATTGTTAAACACATCTGGAACATTGAGTACTGGTAAATATTGAAGCATCATATAAGTAACACAAACAGATTCAAGGAGCAGACAATTTATTCTTTGTGAAAGTCAGGTGAAAGAGCAAGTATTTCAGTCAAACTTTGCAAGAAATAACAGGCATGAATAACACTTCTTCCTCCTGTGAAGGCTAAAAAATTGGCTGTTGTTTTCTTACAACAGTGGAAAAAGAACCGAAAGGAGTAGGAAAGGATTTTCTGTACATTTTAAGTCCTGTTTTATCTGGCATCACTGGGGGTTGCAATATCTCTATCTCACACTTTTACCCCTCACATCCTGGACATAAACTGTTTCAACTACTCCCCTCAGGATGCCACTACAGGGCATTGTATGCCAAAACAACTAGACAAAAAAAGACAGTTTCCCCCCCATGCCATTACTCTGCTAAACATCTAATTCCCACAGCACTGTCTTATGCTTAAGGATATCTAACCATCTAGTAGGGCTGTATTACTATTATTCTTCTCATCTTTTCTATTACCTACTCCTGTTGATACCTTATATGACTATCACTTTGTTGTTATATCTGATGATTTATGACTTTGTTGCTTGTATGTACGCTGAGAGCTTATGCACCAAAGACAAATTCCTTGTGTGTCCAATCACACTTGCCAATAAATTATATTTCTATTCTTATTATTATTTCTATTACTACAAATAACTCCAGGCAGTGAACATATCCAACACTACTTCCTCCTCCTATTTTTCCCACAACAACTCTATGAAAGCGGTTACTAGAGAGAGAATGACTAGAGCCAGACAGGTTACATGGCTAAAGCAGGACTAGAATTACTCCCAGGTTCATAATTCTTGACCTAATAGGAACATCAAAACATTTTCCTGCTTTTTATCTAACAATCAAACCCCAGCTCATAACTTGGAAGAGTTAAACTTGTGCTCATTACTAGTTTCTGACTGAAAATAGTCACATCTGAAAGTGCTACACTTTTATAGTTAGGAAATGGCATCTTTTTTTGGGTGATCTAATACTATTTTAAAAAAATATTGGGATGTAACTAGAGTTCACTACCACAGTCTATGAAAATTAAATGATCTTTCACTTCATCACTGCAGAATATATTTTTGGTAAATTATACTTGTTGCACTCCATTATCCATTCTTTTTTTGAAACAAAACTTACATCAGTTATTTACCTCAGCAGTCTGGTAAGGTACATAAATTATACCCTGTCACTATTGTTTAAGGAATATGTTGCAAATAGATGAAAACTTTTCAATAAAACATGCATACGCGCACACAGAACAGAGAGTGATATGTTTCTAGACCTAATCATTCATATACAAATTGGTAAGTATTTGTATACTCATATACAATTTTACTAAGTTTTTAGATTTCTGCTTTCTCTAGAATCATAATCACTTTGCTTTTATATCTGTCCCAATAAAAAAAAATTCAGGCAGAACATAGAAGAGCAAAGCAAGAACTGAATTTCTCCAATCCCCCTTAAAAATGATCAAAAATTATGAATGATTGGAAGATGCTCACATTCAGTCTATGGGCAAAGCAACATGATTTTTAGGGACTTCCATGGGCTGAAAGAGACAAGGATGAGGTTGAAGCATACCTCTGGGAGAAGCATTATTTGTATTGATGTTGTATCTATAGTTATAATACCGATTTGGGGAAAGGATTGCAAAAATTGGTTTTTAACCTTGGGAGCAAAATTAGTCACATTGCTGGGACCGATCTTGATAATCAAGAAACGTATCTTGCAAAAAAACCAAAACTAAACCCTGACCCCATCCCAAAGCTATGGGAACGCTAATAATGGAAAATATTTTCTAACTTGACATGTCACAAGTACTTGTCTGGAGAACATATTGCCATATCCACAAAGGAAAAGATATAGATAAGTACAACATATAGTGCATCTCAGTACCCAATCAAAGACCAGCTGATCATGTTAGAGCAAACAGTATATAATTTTCATTTGAGAAGATGAATTTCTTCTTACCTGTATGGATATTTTTCAACAAAGCCAATGTAAGCAGCAAATGACAGAATGAGGAACAAAAAGCCTAGGAGAAAGAGATGGGATGATGTAGGAAACTTTCTCCTTAATCTCATGGTGCTATTCTGAACATTCAGGATATCTCTACCTGTCCTGGCCCCAGATAAAGTGCAGATTAGCTCATCCCACAGCGTTATTCCTCTGATATCGCCTGCCTAGGGAGGGGGGGGAGGGAGGGCAGGGCAGGAGCTCCTTGCAGAATTTCTAAACTCCATTCCTTTGCCAGAAAGTAGAGACTACTTCCTCCTATTAAAATTACTGTTCTTGGAGGAAGACTGCCCAAATGGAAAGACTCCCACAAGTTAAACAAGTAAGTGCAAATACTTTCTGAATTCACAAATGTGTGTGGTTAAGATAAATGAGTTGTGAAAGGAACAGGGTTCCTTTATAAAGTTGCAGGAGGTACAATTTTTTCCCCCAAATCTGCTTAAATAAGAGGCACCTGCCCAAGTCCCCTCCTTTTTTCTGTTATAAGCAATGATTCCTTTCTGATTGCTAGATAAAATATGGGAAACTCAATTAAGGAGCTCATCAAGGCAATTGCCATAAGCCTGGAAGCTACTGAAACCCTCAATTATGCTGAAAACTACAAGACATGAGTGTGCAGACAATCTTCTTGATGGCATAACAGAATGCTATGGAGGCAACAGCTAATATCTTAGTTGTCACAGAAGAAAGAAGATAAATTTTTGCCTATTGCTTCTTGCAAAATTTGGACACAATTTTTAGCCATTCTTCTGATTTGCCCCAAGTACTGACTCTGAATGAGTATGTAAAAGAGGAGGAGGAAGACTACAGATTAACATTTAACCAAATATGCATAGGATTTTATTGCACATGCTATGACGCCGTGCACATTTTTGTGGGGAATACTCTTTGACTCTTTCGAAGTAAACACAAACAGAAAGAACCATGGAACACTTTCTACTTTTATGGAAAGAAATAACTCTATAAAATAACATATTGCCATTTTAATTAACAAAGATTATTTCCTGGGTTCATATTGTACACTGACTAATAAATGCATAAATGGATTGGGTTCATATAAATATGGCAGGTGCATTCAGTGTGTTCCAAGCTTTGTTTGCACTGAAGATAATAGTTTTGAGATCGGGTTCATCATACAGAAGTTTCATATTAATGTACACTAGGGAAGCTTCCGTACACAGGCATGATAAGGAACAGATTTTATTTAAAAACATTCTTTAGTCTCATCATATAAAATGATAAAACAAAACTATTACATTATTCAAAAAAGAAATTATAATGTAGACTTCAAGATGAGAAAAGCCAGTGAAGCTTCTGAACACTGATGAAAAGTGTAATGACAAGGCAAAACCAAGTCCCTGGCCATTTGCACGAATTTGTACATTTCCCACCCCTAACCACAGTCAATCTTAAATTCAGTGAGACACGGTATCTTCAAAGGTCTGGAGGAGACTATTGTTTTTCCTCCTGTAATGGAGCAAAGAACTAATAGGATTGCAATGCAAGCAAAATAAATCCAGGAGGAGGGGGATACAAATATTAAGGGAAAGATGTTAGCCACATAAAAATCCCCAAAGCTGGCAATATCTATAGTAGATGGTATTTGTAATTCCTATATCTATACAAAAATGGTACTGAAGGAAAACGTATGAATAATATGAGATTGTAGGTTTCATATTGATTGCTAAGTTATATTATTCATGTTAGTGTAATTAAAGGTGTTGGCCTACCAGTTTATTAATATATTATGGCAGCCCAGAACAGCTGATTTAAATGAAGTGCAACTTTTACAACAGTTTGCTCAAGTCACAAAACTTCCTGGGGATGCTCTCTTCAATTTTTCTTGGACATTCAATTTGTACTTGCCTGACATGGTTACTCAGAGGCAATGTCCTGATTAAGGTATTGGGGCTAGGAGCAAAGTTCTACTGTTCCTTCAGCCATGGGAGCTCATTGGCTGATTTTGGACAAGCCCCTCTTTCACAGCCCCACCACATAGAGTTGTTAATATGGGGGGAAATTGAGGACTGTGTTCTAAATAAGCCCAGATGTGGTATTCAGCAGGTTCTGACCAGTTCTGGAGAACCAGTAGCAGACATTTTTAGTAGTTCAGAGAACTGGCAAATACCACCTGTGACTGGCCCCACCTCCCAAGTCCCAGTTGATCGGCTGGGTCTTCTTTGGTTGCCCTGCACAAGAGAACGGAGCTGGAAAGCAGGTTAGTAGGGTGGGGGGGGGGAATAGGAATTTTGCAGTAACCTTCCCCCAGGAGTGGGGAGGGAAAGGGTTTTTTACAGTATCCTTCCCGTGTCACACCCACCAAGCCACGCCCACAGAACCAATAATAAAAATTTTTTGAATCCCACCACTGAATAAGCCATTCTGAATTCCTGGACAAAAAGTGAGATCTAACAAAGATGTGGTGAAGTTGTTGCTGAATAGTAAATATTTTCTGGATTTGCACACTACATTGAACCATATATTGACCATATGGGCTAAGGTTGTACAACCACTTAGGCCAAAATATGGCTGACCAGTTCAGTATTTGGCATGTCACTCAGACAGAAAGATTACGAGTTAAGAAGAAAGAGAGAGAACATTCTCTATGGAGGAAATCCATCTCCACTGAAGTGCAGTAGGGACTAATTTCATACTGTTTTCCACCCCAGATTAAAGCTTTATTTAACTGATCATAGTTAGTTAATCTTTTTGATTTTACTTCTTCCTAAACTGCATACAGTAACTGTTCAGGTTTGTTTTTTTTTGTTACTGTATTTTAGAAGAATCATAAGATGTCAGTGGAAATACGTTTTATCAGTTGATAATTTTTGGATTAAAGCAGGGCAATAGAATGGAATGGAATGGAATGGAATGGAATGGAATAGAATAGAATAGAATAGAATAGAATAGAATAGAATAGAATAGAATAGAATAGAATAGAATAGAATAGAATAG